GGATTGAGCTATTGGGATATTGTCATTGCCTCTATCCAGCATGGGGCTGGTGCGGCTGGAGATGCCTCGAGAAGGTGACAAGTTCAAGGAAACGCATGTAGAGTTAGTTTGTTCATTTGTTGCTTAATTCTCGTTCCGAACCGTTGTTTTCTTAACGTAATATTAATAAGACTTGATAGGTTAACTGTGATGCGTGAAAGCAAATGAGAATAATTAAAACAATGTTCTAATAGATAAATAAAGAAGGTGAAATGCAATAACGAGAACTCACAAGGATCTATAACAAAGACCACGTTGTTTCACTGTGTATCTACGTATTCAAACTCGCAATAGGACATACTTCAAACAAAGTATAATCCGTGTTGAAATTCTTTTATTAACATTACAGTTAAATTGTATGTTTTCTGAACTACTAGCACATAACATCAGTTGTTTTCTTGAGAATACTTCTCGAGGTGACACATGAATAGGAGAGTACTACAGCTCCAGTACTCTTGCCCACCTTCGTGAAACGATTGCGGATCCTGTCTACAGGCCTACCCAGATCCACTTGTATGTCGGCGACGCCCATAATGTCAAAATTAATTGACTTATTGACTGAACCAAGGTTATCCGTAGTTACAAATTAAAATCTTAATGGGTCCGGCACGATAAAACATATAAATGCTGCTCCAAAAAGTAAAACATTCAAAAACATCTATTTTCAACTGAAGCATATTACGTTATTAATACCCCGTCAATCACACTTCTGTGAAACTATTAGAATATCAATTCTATACATCGACAGGAATTAGAAATCTTTTAGTATGAATCTCTGTTGTCGTTATTAAGTTCTAAACCATAGCATTCAGCAATCCAGTTAAAAAACACTACATTGAAGTTCGAAGCGGGTTTAGTGAAAAAGTATTTTCATATGCAGCAAAACTTGTGTAAATGTTAAATATTGAAATAGATGGTACACTCGTCAGTTTTTGCGATGTTTAGTTATCGATGTCTTCGATCACTAGTCACGTACATTTTTTACTCGTGCTTTGAGGAAGTAACCAAACTCAAGCCAAATCCTGTGGTCCAATCTAGAGTGTCAAATCCAAGGGTTCGATCCAAGAGTGATCAAGCTAAGTGTCAGATCTAGAGTCAAGTCCAGGTCAATAAGGTCAGTATCAAATAACAGTCAGTCAGGGTCATCAGGTCAAATAGTGTTCGAAAATAGTGTTCAACGCCAAGTTGTCAGGATCTAAAGGGTCAATCAGAGGGTCAAATCGATGGTCATATCCAGTGTCAAACCAAGTGTTCAGATTCTAAGGGTAAGTCAAGTGTCAAAATCCAGATGATCAAATGCAAGTGTCCGTTGGCCCGTGGCGCCTGCGGCCGTCAGGAGCGCGCGCGTGCATGCTCTAAAAGCGCGTTGCAGGCGGGAGGTGAGAGGCTGGCGCGCGATGTCGCTGGCTGGTAGTAGAATTCGAGCGGAGGCGCCACTCCCGACCCGTTGTCGCCGGGAGCGGCTGCTCGCGGCCAAGATCGGTTCCTGCCCGAGGCGCGCAATCCAGGTGGGTACTCACGAGCAACCGCCACACACAAAGACGTACTATGCACATTACACAAATAAAACGTTCTTTGACGACATTCTCCAGTCGACGGGGTGACAAACTGTACAGGGAGAACCACAGCTCCAGTAATGTACCCAATCATTCGGAAGTGAATGCAAATCAGTTTCTGCGTAACTACTCACTGACTTGCCCCAAGTTGACGTTGCATGCTCCTGAATGTCAAAATAAGATTTATTACAAAGTTTGATTGAAAAGAATCTTAATGGGCCCAAGCAGGACAAACTTGGCTTCCCGATGCAAAATATGTCAAGTATCCATTCGCACAGCATAGACTATTATTTTTTTCCGACGGTTCCTTGTGAAAATTTGGACAGTAGGCCGAATTAAGAATTTAGCATGACGGCAGTTACATGATGGGATTTAGATTGCGGCACTACAGCCGTTTCATTTACTGCGTCTTACACACACGATGCAAAGTACATAGTACTGCTTTAATATTCAGCACCACCACTTAAGTACAATTACATAATTTATCGGCCTTTGTAATGCCTATGGTGGTTTCCGTTTAGTTAAGTGGAATAAACTTTACAGGTGGCATACTTACTGGCATCTCAGTCCCTTTTGAAGATTTCCACCCTAACGCCTCGTAAAAGTACAAAAAAAACAAACAACAAAAACAAGGTGCATTTACAAGCACAAACCACACACATGCATGTACACACGTAGCATGCAGGTAGACTGACGCGCGAGCCGCGGGCGTGCGGGCGAGCGCAGGCAAAGGGGCGCCTGACTGCAGCAGGTGTGGTTCAGCAACTCGGGCGCAAGTGGCGGCGCGAGGAAAGCTGCGCAACGCAGCGCGCGCCGCGAGCGCCGGCGGGCCGGGCGCGGGCGGCGCGGGCGCGCGTGGGCGCGGGCGTGGGGCGTGGGCGGGCCCGCCTCGCCCCGCGCCTCCTCAACGGCGGCGGCGGCGGCGGGCGGGGGGCGGCGGG